AAGGGCATGCTTTCATCCTTTGGAGACTCTGGAGAACACACTGGAGATAGGGGCCCTGATTAAGAGATACAAAATGTCCCAGTGCTTAGATTTCAACACCCTGACCCAGTGTCTGCACTATTGTTAGCAAGTTACCTGGAAGTAAGTCTAGTATCAAAGACTGATGTAAAATATAAATCTGTATATTTGTACCTAAACATCTAAAGATACGTAGTTTCAAATCCTTAAAAAGACTTGGGTGAAGAAATGAATGAAAACCACTCATAATCTACTTTAATTCAACTGAAAGCTGCTCTCTTTTTCCCCTCAAAATACACCTTGCCAAAGATTTTCCCTTTCTGCATATGTTATCATTCAGTTTGAATTAATTTGTGGGAGCTCCTTCCTGGATGTTTTTGTTCCATCACTTGAGTGAGCACTGGCATTTGTCTGACAATACGGTGAGATGATTCAAGGAAGAACTGGCCAGAAAAACTAATTTCTTAATTTCATAGTTACTTTTCTGTCTGAACCGACTTACCGCACATTTGTACAAATGTCAGGGCAGTAAAAAAGATGAAGTAGGGGCTGGAGGAGGAGGTAAGACCACAGAAGCCCTGAGCTGACCAGCTCAAATTAGTGTGTAATGACATCCTTAACCTCCTTCTGAATCTGTTTAAAAGCTTGATGGCTAAACTGCAATGATATTGACAGTGCTTAGGAATTTGCTTAGGACAGCGAAGCTACGGACTAGCGAGGTGAGCAGCCAGTTCTGAAAATCCAGCTGCTATGACGGCAAAATGACATTCTTCATTAGTAAATGAATGATCACAGACATTCATTAGTAAATGAATGATCACAGACAACATGATCCATAATTACATCACCTGTTTGCTCTCTTAACAACCTGTTTTATTTCTCACCAAGCCAACAGCCTTGCCACCCTTTACTAATATAAGCATTGCTTCCTTTCCTTGAGATGCTAATGTTTGTCTCCTAGACTGAGTACGTTCTCCCGTACTAAATTAAGAACCCCAAGCTGCAATTCCTCTTCCTCCTGCGCTGCGGATGGATTAGTGTTCTTCCGTGTGGCATAAGCCCACTGAGTTGCTGGTTACTGTCTCCACCATCCCCACCTCCCTAGTCATGCTGTCCTCCACTCTCCTTTGTGCTACCACCAGCACTCATCAGACAACTTGGAGAAAAAGTGCAAATGGCACGGGGTCAGAGAAAAGCAGCCAACGCTTAAATGAGAGGGTACTTTAACAAGACTGAATTTGACCAAAGTTTAGGCTGCTGTCCTTCCCCTTTCCCTCTACTCTGGCCATGTGTTCCTGCTGCTCCCTTGGGCTGGATCTAACCAATATACCGCTGCATATGTCTATGCATATAGCCTACATTATACGCATACTTGTATGGAGTATTCTGGTCTGAGCATTTATGTTGTTACACAGTACGAGTACTTGCAAGCGGAAAAGTTGCTGGACTATTTCAAGAACGTTTCAAATCTTTAAACCCTTTATTGAAACGGTTCTCTCACCCATCTGCCTGCAAAGCCAGATTTTTTTTCAGCTATAAGGAGACATAAAATAATTTTAAAATGAGCTTTAGAGCCCTTGACACATCCTGATTCTTTAAAAAGTGGTATGTTGTTATGCTAAAGTAAGAAATGAGCACTGTTTTTTATTGCTTTAATTGGAAAGCAGAGATATTCCGCCTTCCGTATCTATCACTGCCATTTAATGGTGTAAAGGTTGTGTTTCCTACTTCTCCGGGATACTTGACAAAAAGTTTGCAGCATTTCTGCCGAAGTCTGCAAACGCCATTACCCCTCACACGGAGGCACACTGCTTGGGAAGGGAAGGGTGTATTTTCCTAGATCAGTGGTTCTCAAGTGCAATTCCTTGTTAGGCTGTGTGGAGCAGGAAGGCCTGCTTCCCAGCCTCCGTGTTGGGACAAGATGGCCATGTGAAGAGGGAGAGGGCATGATGTCACATTTTGTGGGGAGATTATTGGAGTCTAGGTCCATTTTGAGAGAAAATCTTTCTTCAGTGCAAATATAATTTCTAATGGCTTTTCTCTCTGTTGCCGGTCTAGAGTGTGAAAGTCCAGAGAATTTCTGGAAAATTCACTGCTATGATTTATGCATCTTGAGGTAAATGAATGCCAAATGTCTTGCAGGACTATAATACCATCTTTTTTCTGGTTTTGTTTTTGTATCCTACTTTTTTCTAAATTATTCTTTTCATTAAGAATTCCTAAAAGACAATTAAGATACAACTTTAGCAGCGTGGCAACACCACCTTAATCATGCTGATGCTTATTGCACAGGCATTGAAAAGAAAAATGTCAAGTCTTAGGAACTGCTAAGAAGAATCATAAGTGACTTTTCTGTGTGCAAGATTAAGACTTTGCACTTTAGGAGAGTCCAATGCTAGAAGAAACTATAAATCATCTAATTAAGGAAGAATTTAAATTTCTTAACTTGGACTAACATAAGCCAACCACAAATGTTCAGCACTGGTAATTAAATAATCTAGATCGTTGGAGGGAAAGTAGGAACAAAGTATCTATCATTTTTTTCTTTTCAAATAAGGTTTGCTTAAAAGGATGTCCAAAGCAGAGAACATTTGATGTAGGTCCAGAGAAAGATAGTTGGCAATAACGGAGTGGACAAAGGTATATATTTATGTGAAACTACAGTTATTTTATGAGCTCTCTCCATGGGGTAATAAGAATGTCACATTACAGGTATTTTAATTACATTTATAAGTCACTATGTGCAGCTTATGAATGATTATGTCTCATGAATCCATGTATTTTATTCTATTAGGTGGATTTTGATTAAGTTCTCATTCAGCGGAAACAAACAAAACAAGACTTCCATAATTAAACTACCTTTAAAATTTATACTATCTAATTACGATATTAGCATGAAACTATGTATTCTAATCTGCAGCAGTAAACTGCTGCTAAACAGTATCATTGTTAATTGAACTAAGTTTAATTTAATGTTTAGCAATTACTCCAATATTCTCTGAAGAGGAGAAAAACACTCGTAACATCGGTGTAGAAGTTGTTCTTTGAGGGAGTTTAACCTTTTTAAGCAGACAGCGTGGCAAAATCAGATAGGGTGATCTGAAATAAGAAGGGCAGCACACTTCAACCCAGGGACATTTTAAAGAGAGCTGGTAGGATGTTTTATTCCAATACAGAAACGAAAACAAACAGCGCTACTACCTAGGATTTACCTTCACTCTCTCCCACTCTGCCTTCACTTCAAGCACACGGAAATCTCTTTCAGCTGCCCCTTCCTGCCTAGCCTCTGCGGGAAGTCTGCCTAGAAAGCCCTAATAACCTACGACAGTTAGCCCTGGCCCCCTGGACTCAATCCCGGTGTATCTAACCTGATTTCCTAAATGTAAACACAGAGAATTGGACAAGAATAGTATGTACAGAAAGCAGAAAAGGAAAGTCAGGACAAGACAATCTTTCAAACCCTGTTCACATCATATTCACTCATTATACATATAACACTTCTTCCCATAGACAACTCGCTATCAAACAACAAGGAAACCACTGATTACCTGCCTGATGACCCCGTTCTGGTTAAGAATGTGTTCAGGATACTGTTCAAGTGACAGCCTTTCAGCTGCAGTTGAACAATGTTTGTACTTCCTAATATTGTGACCCTGTTGCTTGGGAGAATACATGCAGAATGCTCAAAGAACAGGAAACTGCTGTCTGTCTAGTTTTGGGAGTCTAGGAAATTAGTACCACTGAATGTTACTCCTTAATATCCCCTTCCTTGTTTCACCCAGCCTCATCCAAAATACACACAGGAGTCTGTTTAGTTTCTCACCCCATACCTTGTATGGTTGCTCACTAGCACACTCTGATTAGCTTGTGTATTTTGCTCACTGTGTCTTGTGGAAACCGATAGTCAGTGGACAGCACGACAGTGAATTGAGCCCTATAACCTTTGACCGTATTCCTAGCTTTCAACTGCTGCAATTACACTGTTGTATCACTCCCGCTGTTCTCAAGCATGCTGTATCACCCCCAGGCAAGACACAAAGCCTCCAGCCATCGCCACCATGGGATGGAGATTCAGTTTCTTGACAGCAGGCATCTGGTTTCATCAGCTAGAGCTGAAATGTCCACGTCCTTGAGGGAATCCCAGCAGACTCCATTAGAGCCCTCAGCTGGCCTTTAGGTTATGTGCAGCATAAGCAGTGCTGGAAACCTTTCGTCTGAGATAAAACTGCTCTTTTCTAAAGCCCTTGTTGGCTCACTGGGGCCAGGGAGTAGCAATAAAATGGGATTCTGAGTAAGGATCTGCTCTCCGGAGCCCTTCATCAAATAAAAACCATCATAGCTAAATCATAGCAATGTACTTCCATCCAGTTTCATTTAGATAGTGTCTCAAGCAACATAACTCCTATTTCTTCATGTATGCTCTTAACCAAAAGCTGTTCTTAATTGCATTATAACCCACAATAGTGAGATTTAAATTTCATTTCAAATGTAAAATAATTCTGTTTGAGTTCTTTAGCAACTTCTCCTCATCTAATATGGAAAGAGTTTTCTCTTTAATTGTATCTCTATGCCTTCAAGAACATTGAGCAGGCTTTTAGACATCTGCTTTTTCCAACCTGCCACTTAACAAGTTACGGTTTGGAATCATTTTCTCTTTGGCTTATTTTTCTCTCTTATCAGTTGCAGATTATGAACATAAAAAAATATGGAGGGCCACAAAGTCTGAAGGCCAAATGTGGGGAAAATTCCACAGTAATCTTTATTAATGTGCTCTGTATAGAAAACTGTATGCATTTTTGCTTTGTATGTTTGCTTTTAACAGAAAGCTGGAAATCACAGAAACTATAGATAGATTGCTATAATTTCAGTGTCAGTTAGTCATTGACTTTTTTTAATTTAACATGTACTGTGGTCGGCCCCACACCCTACCCAAATAACTCTCAATGGACTTTTCCCCAGAGGAGATTACAGCGAGTACTTACTGAGGCACAGTTGCTTTCTGACTTGTCTTCCAGAAAGCCAATTTGGCATGGTGTCCTCTGATTCTGCAGCCAGTAGTCTGTTGATTCTAGCAGACTGTTACTGCAGAGAATCTGTTAAAATAGTTAAAAATAGTTAAAGATAATTAAAAAATTTACTCAGTCCTCCTGTGCTTTGGGGGCCTGAACTCTATTGTTGTAACTAAAAGGAAATCTTGCCTACAAAATCTTTGGGGGGCAAGACTGGGACCCCTGTTCCTTTTGGACCTGTCCAGTTAATGCACCTTAAATCAAGTGATTTATGTATCCCCTAAAGTATTAGCCTACTTTCTTTCAGAACTGAAAGTCCTCGCAGATACTTGAAGGAGATGCCTAAACCCAACATTTTTATCGGAAAATATTGCTAGGAGTTTTGTTCTGTGTTAAAGTGATAAACGTAGATGTTGGGAAAACTAATTATTTAATTATACCAGGGTGCACAAACTTGCAGCCTTTATGATTTACTGTATCTCTCTCCACAACAGATCAGTACTATTTATTCTGCCAGCAGCCTCATTTCTGAGACTGCCTAGGCTACAAACTCTTTCTTCTTAAACACATTTTTCTGCTTTCTGAGAAGCTAAAGTACTTAAGACCTGCTGTAATGAGTACTGAGCTCAGTCAGTACCCTGAGACCAAAACTTTGCGTTTAATCTATGTCAACTCAGTCCTACAGCTTATGCCACAAGCTTTGCTCAAACAAAACCAAAATGGGGCTACAGATATCTGTAGACTATAAAGAGGCAAAGCCAGTTTTGCAAGTCTGATGCTTAGATTGAACTGAATACCTTACTTGCTGCCTCTGTACTAATATTATTCCATGAAAAAGAGGGACCCTTAGCATTTTTAAGACAACTGTGTAACAGCAGGAAAAGAATAGCTGCAACAATGATGCTACTTATTGAACATTTTATATGGCTTATCGTCTTCAATGTTAAGAAGTATGTTTGTGAAACGGATGTTTATTTTATTTGTACTTCTTGCAATTCTTGCATTACATGGAAATAGACTGTACTCTAGCTCTTTAGCCTTTTATTTTAATAATGATACTTTAAAATATAAATTTGTTGCTCTACCTGGAAAAAAATCTATCCACAGTACTTTCCTTTACCTTACTGCACGTTTTGCATTGACAGGAACATTTTCTTTGCATTCAGGAACACTTGATCCATAAGCCTAGATCCCTTCCTTAGGAAGAGAAATGAGAAGAACTTGTGAGGCCTCTTCATTTCTCAGGGAAGATGAATGACTGTGGAAAGCTGATCTGGCCAGTTGACACAATTTTCTAATGCTCAGGGGCAATCCAGAAGTAAGCTTATTACCACTCACAGACTAACACCCGCTCTAATTTTTATCTTTCTGGCAGAAAGCCAGTTAGATAGCTAATACTGTACTCCCTGTATTATTCTGTATTGATTTCTGAATAGAAGTCGGCAGAAGATGGATGAGGAGGTAATGGGGAACACCACAGTCCATAAGTTTGGCCTCCTTCAGTGCCCTTCTTCGGTGCCCTCCACAAAGGCTTTGCACCTTTGTGGTGCAAAGGCTTTGCACCTTTGTGGTTTTTGTTTCTCAGTACTCCAGCCCTGCTATGGGATTTCTTCCAAAGAGCTTCGGAATACAAATTTAGGGTTCACAAAATACTCAGAAAAAAACACTGTGTCCAAAGACTTTGTTCTGAGAATGACAAAGGCTCATGAATGCTTCACATCAACACCAGTCTCTTCTTGGGGGCTGCTAGCTAATCTGGTTTATCAGTTGAATAACTCTGCACTCAATAAATTTTATAACCTCCTGTCTCAGTGCAAAAAGATTCCTGCCACCATAACTAACTCTGAGACTAGATGGGGAGAATAATATATTTCATATCCCAAAGAAACAATTTCCTGTTAGTGTTATAAACTGTTCTTTGTTTTGTTTTGTTTTTTTAAGAAATGTTTTCAAGTGTGGAAATACTGAACCGTTATAAACTGGTTGGTAAAATCTAGAATCAAGCATTTTTTTTCTTCCTTTCCAAAAACTACCATCCTCTGAGGCTTTTATGAAGACATAAAGAATTGAACATATACATGCGCGCACACACACACATATCTACATATATATATGATTTCAGATTTAATCTGATTCTAGGTCTTCTCATCCTCAAGGGTTGAAGTTCTAATTACCTGTTCAGACATAATTTTGCATACATAGGAAACAGTTCTCTAGCTCAAATAGGTTTTGCTGTAACAAGCAGTCTTGTTTCATTTCCTTAAAAATGACAGTGAATTTGTCTTCAGCCTTAATCACTTTAGATCTTTCTTTCCCACATCTCAGACAGTTTCTGAGAAACTGGAATAGGCAGAAATTATCACACAGAAACAAGCTGCAGAAATCCTTGGTACTACTCTTTGTCTCATAAGGACTTGGTGTGCACACCCAACATTTCAGAACAGCTAATCATAGCAGATGTATATTGTAGATGATAAACCCATGAAATGAGCTGGGCAGTCCAAACTTCTCCTAGTTTTCCTCCTGTGGGATGTTAAATGACCCTTGGTAGCTCTATCTTTCTCTCAGAGGATGTTTTTATCAGGCAGCAAATACTGGTAAAGCACCAACAGAAGAAATAACTCTCCTGAACAAATGTTTCAGTCGGGGCAGGTCATAGTTGCCAAGCTTGGGTCACTCCAGCATGGTTTATAAGTTGCAAGGCTTTATAGTACATTTAATTTTTGTATGCAGCATTTCATAATAGACTTTGAAGTCAAGGGTAGAAATTATTACATGGAAGTTTTGGACAGCATGTGATTTTTAAGTCACCTCAAGGAGATGAACAACGTTAGTAGGATGATGCTTTCCCTGAGCCAGATTCTGCTCTCATGTGTGCATAAGTAGTTTCACACATGCACTTGAGAATGCAGCCAGAAATGTGAAGAAGGGTGCAATAGGCATAACATTGTTACTACTGGAGGTTGGAGAAAATAATGTAGAGCAATTTGGATTTGAAGAAGACAGGTGAGAAAAACAAAACCAGATATACTTGAGTCCGCGCAGCAGAAGCTGGCGGAGGTGAGCAATCTAAGGAATACAGGTTGGCCCAAAGTCATCTGGAAGGCCTCTGGAAATTACTCAGAAAAGACAGCGCTGTGGGAAAGGGAGGCATGCAGGAACACGTGGGAGAGGCCTCCTTGCGTATGGTCTGGTTTTACATGTGTGAATGGTGTTCAGGAGATGGAAGGTAAGCGGTGAATAAGCGGTGGCAGGAATGAAGGGTAAACTTTGGATGAGTTTGAACTCTACCTTTTGAAATGCAAGTTTCTGCATTAGGACCATTACAGACATGCTATTGCTCAGAACCTTCCCATTAATACTTCTTTGGAGGAAGGGTAATTTGGGCCACCCCGCAATGCTGATCGCAGTAGGGTTACACACACCTGCTATGCAAAAATGCATATATAGAAGCCATGTGAACTTTTCGGCATATTCCTTTGGTAACAGACAGCAATATTATCATGGTCAAAGACAAACATAGAGTAGGAGTGAATGTAATACTTCTTACAGCATCTCACTATTGTAAGGCAATTCTCCCTGTTAACTAGGTGCACGTGTTTATATAAAGCGGGAGTTTACATATGTATTAAAACTTGCTAAGATATTCATGCTTTTAAAGGAATATACTGAAGTCCTTATAGTAAAATAATGTATGACTGCGACGATCAAAAGCGTATATGCTTGAAGGAGCTGGCCTAAATTAACAGGGCTAATGAATTAACCGAATGCAATGTGAGAACTGGTATTCCTCAGAGGTGTAACTCTACCAGTACATGCTGATTGCCATTTTTGCATTTAAGCATATTTTCAAAATATACTGAGCTGGTCTGTACCAAAGGATAAGAAACCTAAACCTGTACTACTTCAGCAGTCGGTCAGCATCCTTCTTTTATATAGCCTGCACTTTTACGGCAAACAGTATCACTTGCCAAAATTTCCTCCTCCTATCTTGTACTTCTCTTCATTCTTATATAATTGAGACAAGTTCTGGGCCAATCCCACTGACATACATTGTTAGCAATTTTGCTGAATTCAGCGAGGTTGCTTCTGATTTGCAACGGTACAACTGAAAGCAGAACTTGATTCGTTGACCATACTTATGTGTAACAGCTGCACACACTATACTGCTGTATATCTGGTTCAGAGCAGGATCATCACACTCAGAAGATAATTCAGGATGAATTTGCATCATGCACTAAATGTGAAATCAGCAGTAATTCATGGTTCTAAAAAAAAGTTTTCCACTCCCATCTAGAGACTCAGCCATCAGCATTACTCAGTGTGTTGTGAATCAATGAACTAAATCAGCCTCTAGCAGAGTGTGGATTAGAAAAGTCACTCTTTCCCAGAGGAAAATATTGCATACCAGTTTAGTGTAACAGCTTCCTGCTCCCTGATTTAGATCATAAGGCATTAAAATACAGTAAATATCTATAACCGAGACAGCATTAAAAAGGCTCTGCTCCACAAATGAAACATCTGCGTCTTCGTGGCTGATCATCTTAATTGCTTTGGTTAATTACTACTCATCAAAAAAGATATGAAAGTGGGACATACAGAATAAGATGAGGTATCAAGGGGCACATCTTCTGCATTTGTTCAGATTGGTCTGTGTAGTAACAGGCCACATCTCATATGGTTCCTGACAGGAGCCGTTCATGCCAAATACAATTACTCAAACCTGCAAGTCAACTGTTTAAACTGTTCCCTTGCAGCAGGAACCCATAGTGTTTCACTCCACCACCAATTACACAGCTAACTTAAAAATCACTGTAACTAACAGAGGCTAAAAGAGAAGGTAATGGCCTATTTTTGGTAATTCTTCATCCTTTTCCACACAAAAAAAGAATGGTAACACATTCTGTGACGATGCTGTAAAGAAGCCCAAAATATCCTGCTGTTTGTCAGAAGTGTTGGCAGAAGTGAATCACTTCTTTTAGTGTGCCGACAATCATAAAATCGACTCGTGTTACGATGAAAAGTTCAAATGTAAGGGATCAGGCAGGTGAAGCAGCTCTAAATCATGTGGTAAAGGCTAGCCTTTAAAAGAGAGTGGTGCTTCTGAAGGTGACCAAGCTGGGAGCATTGGTAAACACAGTGGCAGCACTTCTCAGTGCTGTGCCACTGTCTTTCAATCGTACATAAAATAGACAACGCTGAGATTAAATGAAAATTTAAGATGTTCTCCCACACAATGGATTTTCTGCCTATTTCTGCCATTATGAAGATTCCAATTACAGTCAGCAGCATTTTTTAAAAATCAGGTATTCTTTTGCAAATAAACAAACCCTTTGATCAAATGAAATATTGACACTTTGTCTTTTAGCTGTGTTGGGGTAAGCTGGAGAAGCCCAGTCCCAGCATACACATCAGTCTATTGAGTTCTTTTTTATATCAATGATTTTACATATAACAAAATTTCTGTAGACAGACAATACTCACCCCCCACACCCACAGTGTGGTTTTCAGGATGAGGAAAATAAATCTTTATCTTTTACATGTTTTATCTTTCTCTCTCTCTGCTTACGTATATAAATATATATTGTTGTTATTTTGGAAAAAAACCCAAACAAAAGGAAAGCATTATTACTACTAGTGGAAGGAAAATGAGAAAAAGTAAGAATTATGGGAAAACTGAATGAACTGTGAAATTTTATAACATTTCTGTGTTAGAACAAACGCTTTCTTATCAGCTCTAGAATTATGCCTGTGGGAGACAGTAGAGCTCTGAGGGTTATTGCAAAGTGAGAGATGAAAGATGGCGTGCCCTCCTCTCTAGGTCTTTGGTACTGCCCCCTTCCCTCGAACTGTACTGCCATAATCTGGCCCTGGGGAGGAGGAGTAAAAGGAAGCATCCATGGTCTTCACCTGTGTATTCTCAGTTGTACTGAAATTACCTACATGCATAAAATAATGTCAGTCTTATCTGACTCCTCCTAATGACATACATACACACACAGGCACTGCTTCCCCCCCCCGATTCCTCTAAATTAAATAACTACATGTAAACCCATTTTGAGGCAAGAAAACCAGCAATGGTCAAATCTATACTACCTCCTGGGTTGCTGAAACCCTTCTGGTCAGATATGAGGGAAGGCAGAAAAGCTGTTTCATGAAGGACCCTCCATTGTATTGACCTGAGAGAAGCAAAGCTCTGGAACTTCAGGCTGGGTTCCAGAAACTTGCCACCTATTGAAGAGCAGTCCTGAAGGTATTCACGCTATGCACTGCTTTTATTTCACATCGTCAGATAATGAGGAAAAATAGAAATGTTCAGGGGGAGTTTATCTCCCATACATGTATAACACATTTTGGGACCAGACAAGTATAGACCAGGCAGACAAAATTGCAAGATACCGTAACAGCACCCAGAATTTATTTTGCTGCATCAGTCCTTTTCTTTTTTAGGTATCAGTTCAATTTTGTATTCCCCAATAAAGACAAAAGCTAAAAAGCAAAGCTATAACCTGGCATATATTTGCCTTTGAATATAACATAAACTTAGAAGTTACCTTCTTACATGCTGTGACAGAGCTTCCCAAACTGCTTGCCGAACTGTCTGTGCTGCTGCCTTGGTGCTCTGGGACTTCATGCATCAGTGGAGATTGAAAGTTGCTGAAGAACAAAAAAGAAACAAACCCCAAAAAACCTTTCCAGTGACTCAGCTGCATAGATAACTCAAATGATACCAAAATAAGGTTCGGGAAAGAGATGTAAATTAACTTAGATTACAAGAAGCTGTCTATACTCTCCTTGCTGTCATTACTAGTTTGTTTATTACCTTAATTTTCCCTTTTTGGAAGACTCTCCTGAGCTACACACTTTGGATATAGAATAGCAGACCAACGTCTTTTGAAGACTAGAGGATAACATATAGCTGCCTATAATCATATCCGTCTGTCTTGAATGACACTGTAAAAAGTGGTACTAGCTTGTTTTCATAAGCAGGCAGCTTGGAGCAGCAAATTAAATACTTGCTGCATTAATTCAGCTTGGTGGACAAAAGAAATGTTTGCCACATTTTTACCTGCCTGGATAGAAGTAAAGGGGTAGTGATTAAAATGAAAAAACCACAACAAGAGTGGTTGAATTCCATAATTTAGATGGAATAGCTCGATACGTTGTAGGTTTGGAGCAAAGGTAAATCATGCACATACTGTTTTGTGAGTCAGTTGTACACAACAGAACTATATTTACTTTGGGACTGTGCAGATGTGAAATACAAAACCATAAAAACAAGCTCCCCCAGCCAAGTTATTTGCATGCACAGCTGGTACCACCCCTCACACTTTTCTTTTGGAATAGTTCAGGCCAGCCTTGTAAGATCTCCCTCCATATAATAATCAAATTGTCACAAGCTTAGTGAAGCTTCTCTCTCTGGACATGATGTGATCGCAATTAAAGACCACAGAGTGCTAAAGGGCTATTTCTCAAAAAATGTACTAGGGAAAGAATATCCTACACGATCAAGTTCTGCTTCCCAAATTGGGTCTCTAGAGTGCTTTTAATTTATTGCAAGTCATCTATGAGAAGATGCGGAAACACATTGTGATAGACCATAACAAGTGACCAGGTTACTATGGCTTAACTAACAGTCTTTCATCAGTCCCAACGGGATAACAGACCATGTGCAATTTCCTGGTATGCTCAATTAAAAACTAAAATGCATTTTCATAAGTCACCTCTACTGGTGCTTAAGCCAATATGTTAAGAGGAAGCTACTTTCACTTTTTGCCCAAATCCACAGCCAAGCATCAATAAGGCTACCTTTCTCTCAAAGATTCACGTATGTGTATTTCACTTGATACTGCTTAGGACCAGTTATGAATATATGCACTCCCATTGATAAGTAACTTTGTCAATAAGAATTTTGCTGATGTGTGTGGTGCTATTCCGTAATTATTAAAAAAAAAAAGTATCTATATTTCCCATTAGAAGAGTGAATGAAAAATATAAAACTAACTTAGTACTTATTAATTGCTAACTGGGGGGAAGCTTCATGAATTGCATGGGAGGATTGAATACAGATGCACAGTGAGACCAGCAGGTTAACTGACTTCACTTGAAAAGTGTGATACCACTTAATACTCTCTAAGACACCAGTATCGTTTGTATCTAGAAGGGAGACTTTTATCTGTTTACAAAATTCTGCTCCATTGCTCAGATTATATAGATAAACAGTAACATTTCTGGGCAGTAATTTCTCTGGCATTTGACAAAGCAAAATAGCATTTTATAGGCCTTACACTGAGTTCTTTAACAGAATGAGGGACATTAAACATATGAAGTCATTCTGGTTTTATATCTTCATTAAAAATAAGAACCTCATATTCAGAGGGCCAAATATTGTACAAGTTAAGTACCCTCCTTGAGAAGTCCGCATTTAGATGCAGCCTCTGTACTAGGTACAACTCAGTACTCCCAGCAGAAGCTGTGCACTGCCTCTTTTTATAAGCTGCATCACTTCTGCAATCTAATAGTAAATTACAAATCAAGCCTGACCTGCAGGTTGAAGTACAAGGCCCATTGTTTTCTCCTGCTCTTCACTGAGAGGAAGACTGAGTGGCTTTGCCACTGCTTTGCCCTACAGGGAGTTGGTATGCTGACAATGAGTATTTGCTCTCAGTTACACTGTGTGCAGGGAACTGAACTTCTAGTGCATAAAGTGTTACTGAGTCTAAAAGCAACCAAGATGATAGTGTGGCCACTAACTGAAGGCCTTTTTGGACCTTAATTAAACAGTACAAATGGAATAGTACATTAAAGCAGAGCTGGAAAATACAGTTGAGGAGTCATGTTCCAGAGTATTAACAAATTTGTGCTATCTCTGGATGATACTCCAGTAAGGGGTAGCACATTACGTGTTCCATACGGAAGTAAATCTGTCTTCCTAGTCATGTGGAAAGCAAAAAGATCTGTAAAATCTTCTTAATCCTTTAAAATCTGTGTTCCTTCCAAAATAAACCCACTTTTCATTTGTAAATATAGAAAAGCTTGTTAAAAGTACGTGATGAGTGAAATAAATGTAGAATGCCATTGCATGTTTTGAATGAGAAAGGCTCCATCTCAGACTGAAGTTCAGACAGGCAACAACAACTGCCTTTGGTGTTACTGAAATCTGGTAAACCTAAATTCTCTTGTCAGCTACCCCAGTCCTCAGAGCTGTATTTCACGTCCAGCTGATTACTCAGAGCACAGGCAAAATCAGCAACTGTGTTTCACAGCACAAGGGACAACACTTTTACGAGTATCTGTAACACTTTCAGAGCTTCTTTTTTGTCTTAGGGTTGGTGTTTCCTGTGCTGTAACTGTAGAGCAGAACCCTTATTCTCACGCTGCATTGCAGTTCAGCTCTAGTGTTGTGCTAGTGATACGAACTCCAGGCTCCCACTGTTTGCAAACAGGTTCACGCAGTCAGGGTTCACAGTCACTGAAAAGTGGAATAATTTTAATAAAGAAAGGCTAAATTATGAGAGCTCCATTCGGAAACAGTTTTAGACTCCACAGCCTTTTCCTCAGTGAGTTTATGGGTATGCAATTTCTAAAAGAAGTACAGAGAAACACATACCCCCACACCTGGGCCACCATTGATGGTCAGCTACATGAACACCTCTAGGTATCATGCAAAGTAGATATGTAGCAGTACATACTGACTGATGGAAAAATGAGCATCTGGCTGAGCTTCTTCAGGTTGGGCATCCAATGTCAGAAACCTGAGTCTTCCATAACTCAAGGCGGTGCAGTGTATGTGGTTCTGTCTAGATACCTTCAGATTCACGGGTCTTTCAACATGGAACACATCACTTCTTCAATCATCTCATCTCTCAGTTAGGTCAAAGTTCCCTCTTCTCTTTCTTCATCCTGCGGGCACCCTTTCTAAGCTTTCATTTTCAACATGTATGTGATTCCTTAAGAGACCCTCCTCAGGCCATACAGCTCTGCCACCTTCACTCTGCAGCAAAGCCAGTAAGATAAACCTAGTTTTCATTAACTCCCCAGGCAAAAACTATTCTGTCTTTGAGAAGCTGCCTGCTCTCATTAGTTCCTCAACAGCAGGAAGCTGAAAGAAACTGCTGCAGAGACGTAGCCATCTCATCATCAAATGATAGCTCTGCATTCATGTACTATACTCGTTACTTCACATTAAGCGTTTACACAAAGCACGTCTTCCAAGGCACCTGGCACAGATCGGAGCCTTTTCGCTACAAGATAAAGCAAGCTGTTGAAGGTTTCAGGTCCTAATTCTCACCTTTGCTTGGCTCCCCTTGTTTATTATGTGATGGAGAATGCTCATCTGACTTAGATGTGCTCATCTGATTTAGAGTTATCATGGAAGGCCACAGGCATAATAAGGAATCTCTGTTAAAGGATGGCTCATTTGGGGATTTTCCCTTTGGTGTGAGAGGTCCTAATTTACAATTCAGCTTTTGAAACTGAAGCTGGGAACCTGGACCTATGACCCAGTGTTAAGAAGTACGCCATTTTCACTTTAATATTTCCATTAACAGAAGAGTCTGCACAGTCACTTATTTGCCACCAGGTGCTGTCTTACTGATTCATGAATTATGACTGATGCTTTTTTCCTACAAAGCTAAATGCTCTCACGAAGAATGCAAACAAATTTCTTGGAAATTAGAGGACTGTAGTAAATAGCTATGAGGTTTATGGCACTAACTGTAATAACAGTACATCCTTTATTATTGACCAAACTGCAAAACAATTGCTTTTATTTTGCTACATTGAATAATTCAAAAATACTGACCTTGATGACTCAAGACTTAATCAAAAAACCACAGCTGCTCCTACAAATAATTATCTTCTTTGCAGATGTGGCAGATGGTGCTACATCAACTAAGAAGAGGTAATTTAAAGAATTCCCCAGGTTATCACTAAAGAAAATTAATCTTTTGAAACAATATCAGAAACTTTAATTTCCTACCATCTTGAACAAGCATAACCAGCTTCCAAAAACTTGCTGTTCAATAATCGTTCCTAAGGAGCAATTTCAATAAATAGTAAGTGACCATTATATATATTCTTTGAACAAATGCTATTATAGCCTAGTGCTTTTCATCTTTTCATTATGATTCCTAATCTCAGCATTTTGAACATACAAAACATACTGATCCATGAAGAAGATAAACTTGATGAAGGAAGCAAACTGAACGAACACAGTGAGGTTTCTCAGTGCAATTAACTCCAAGCTATAGTCGACTACATTTCTAATGTTTTTCTAATATTTGTACTGAACACCATAAACAACAAAAAAGGAATGAATCTCATTTGGAAATAGAAATATGAGACAAGTGAAAGCATGGCAAAATACTTCAGCATATTCTTACCTTTACACTCACAAAGAAACCTGACAGCTACTCAGAAACTGAGGAAGGCAGCTAGCTTAATCCAGACGCTAAGCAAGCAGCAGTTTTGAAAGGCATGCAGCATCCAAACAGCATCCCTTAGCTTCAAAGCCTTTTTGAAGTGGACAGACTAGTCACACTCTTTCCTCACGCTACCTTCCAGATTTTACAGTTTTAAAATTTATCTTTACATGTAAACAGGTCAACAAAGTCACTAGCAGTAAAATCTTTAGATGTAACA